TAGGCCTCTGGACTCTACTTGGACTCCTACCTTACAGGTCTACAGTTCGAATCTCCCTACAGCCTACAACCTACGGCGACCTACTTACCACTGGCTATCGTGCAGGTCACAGGTTCAACTCCAGGGATCGACCCCTGGGATCTGCATCGGCTACTGCCAAAGGTGAAAACTGTTTCAGCAGCTGCAAAGCTGTTTTGTCAATACACAGTTGAGCAAACTTGCAGAGTTTGCAATGCTGAGGAGCTTGAGAGGAAAAAAAGGTGAGACTGTGTAACCTGAAGCAGTGGCAAGTCTTTGAACCTGCGAAGCATCGGGCTGATCCCATGCGCTTCAGGAGTCAGGGCAGGCGCTCTGAGCAGTGAGGCCACGAGTCACTGAATTTTGCCCATGGATGTGTGCCCGTTACTTCGTTCATGTTTTGGTTGAAGCCTTGAAGGTTTTTTCTTTCGTATTTTTAGTATGGTAAATTATGCACACTTTCTGTTTGTTCATGTTTTGGTTGAAATTGTAAGGTAAATTATCATTTGATTATGAAGTAATATGAACATTGCACACCTTCTGTCTGCTCAGAGTGTCATGATGCATATGTCAATTGGGTTGTTGCCAGTGTGTCCATATCTCCCAAGTTTTGGCCAACGCTTTTCATTGTGGCTCTATCCTTGATCTTGCAGGGCCTTGTTGATCCAAAAGCTATGGCAAGAATGGGCCTTGGCGAGGCTCTCACCAATCTCGTGTGGGCAAAGGTAAGCGATTAGTCACAGTGCTCAATCCCTGAAGATAGAGCACGTCAGCACCCGCTCCATGACACAGATGCCCTAGCTCAAGTTCCAGCCTTACTTCTGCTCGGCTGTAATTTAATTTGCTTATGTTGAGAAGTTTCTCCGTTCTGTTTAACAATCTTTTGCTCCCATTCATGCTAAGGTCACCCCTATCTGCCATAAAGGTGAGTGCAGAAAATGGATGTGTGGTGTACAGTGTACTACATGAGTGCAAAACACTGATGTGCGGTGTGCGCCATGCACCGCACATGTGTTACGCACATGTATGTGTGTGATAAAAAGTATGGGGTTGCAAAACAAATGGGGTGGGTGGAGGTTGGTGGCAACCCCTCCCCGCCACCCCGGCTTTGGGGGGAAAAAAATATGAGAAAGTTAAAAAAACTGAACTGGCGTTTGAAGAACGTTTTGGCCAGCCACACTGAACTGTGGCCTGGACAACAGAAGCATCCACATTTGTGTGAGTGTTTGTGTGTGTGTATGTGTGTGCGAGTAAGTGTGGGTGTACGTGTGTGCGTGTGTGTGAGAGAGAGAGAGAAAGAGGGTGAGAGACAATTTGTGGACGCATTTAAGCATATCATGGCATGCCCTAGTTTTATGTGCGCTAACTGTGAAACTGATGATTTGGGCCCAGGAAAGGCATGCTGAATAATGTTGCAGCCACTATGTTTCCAAAACAATTGTCAGGGAAGCTGCCTTGCCTCTTTTCACTATGACGATACATATCCCTGTGTGTGTGTGTGTGTGTGTGTGTGTGTGTGTGTGTGTTTGTGTGTCTGTATGTGTCTGTGTGTGTCTGTATGTGTCTGTGTGTGTCTGTATGTGTCTGTGTGTGTC